ACACACACACACACACACACACATACACACACACACACAAACACACACGCTGGCGCCAGCGCCTAGGGACCCTGGGGCAGTCAGCAGCAACCACCTGAAGGGTTGGTTAAGAGGTGCTGAGATGAAGTTTGTCCTTGTCCTTGTCTGTCACTATTAGAGTTCTGCCCCCATCCCAGTGTCTTGCCTTTGAAGAACAAGTTTATGAGTTGGTGAAGGAATCTCAGTAGAATTCAGAAATCCTGCCTTTCCCAAGCTCAATCTCTTTAAGGTGCTTGCTCCAAACCTCCCTTTACCTCATCTAGTCCCTGAGCTACTTATGGTCCTGTCTCTGCCCTCTTCCCTAGAGATTGAGGAATGACTGCTAGAATGACAAAGCTGGTATCTTTGGACATGTTTCTCAAGGTCGGGGGTGGTGGGTGGAGGGGGTTCTGATTATCAGCAACAGGAAACAAAGTTCCCTGATGAAAGGACCTAGTGCTGTCACCTGGAAGGAGCTCCCCTCCTACCCTCCAACTCCTCTCTGCAGACCGGCAATCCCAAGCTAAGAAGAGACTCTTCCAGCGCCAATCACAAGCAGGAGTCATTGTCTTGGTGTTTCCTTTGAAGCCTATCACCTCCCCTCCCCCTTCCAGCAAAGCCCCAAAGTTCAACTCTTGCCTAGACTGGACAGTGGGGGAGGTGCAGCCAGAGGGTGTGGCTCCGCAAGCCCCCAGGGACCCCTCCCACTCTCCCCAAGAACTGCAGGTGGCTTTCCAGTCCGTGGGAGTCTCCAAAGGGGTGCTGGGCAAGGTCAAGTGTAAACTGGGAAAGAGTAAAGAGACCCTCTCGTACCTCTTTCCTGAGTATGAGTAGTGATGTCCAGATGTAGGACGAGGGCACTTCCTCAGAATACTGCTAGGGAATCTTTTATTCCTAGCAAAGGGAACTAAACTCAGTTGGAGCCATCCCAGCGCCTAAGGGCTCCAACAGGGATGCTGAACATAGACTCCTCCTCTTCGTAGGAGAAGGCAGTCGCCAGACACCCCGAGCCTCAACAGCAGATAAAACCGCAGAACGAACGAATACACACACACACACACACACACACACACACACACACACACACACACACACCTGGGTGACTCCAGGAGAGAGTCTCGGCCTCCGAGTCGTGATGCCAGGGCTCTGCGCCAGGGTCCAGCGTGATGAACACTTGGGGGCTTGGCGCCCAGACTCGATTGGGAAGGAGGGGGAAAGCCCAGCTGTTAAGGAGAGGAGCCTTCAGACTCCGCAGGGAGGTAGGACACCCCATAACTCCCTAACTACCCGAAGTCAGACCCAGAGGCTGGTCGTTCTTAGGCGCCCAGGTGTGCTTAGCAGTGCACCCAAGGATCCCCTGCTCACCTGCACCCAACTCCTTAGAGTTCCAAATGCTACCCAAAGTTTCCACTTGGAGCAATGCGCCCAGATGTGAGTTCTGCATCTAATTCCCGCACCCTAGCGCCCCAGTTCCTCATGGTCACCCCAGATGCCCAGAGCCCAGACCTTCCCGGGCCCCCGCGAGCAGCGAGACTCCGCTCCCACTTCCCTGAAGAGGTGCGATCCAACTCCGCCCAGCCCCCGGCCGCCCGGTCGCTCACCGGGCTCTGGCAGGAGGCGGGAGGCGGGAGGCGGGAGCCGCTGGCAGGGCCGGCGGCGGCTGCGGACTCTGGCGGGCGCCGGAGGAGGCCACTGCGCACCGCGCGGTATTGTTTCCAAAATACGCCCGCTCGGGGCATCCCGCAAACAGCTGATGAGGCCCCGCCTCCCAGCGCGTCACGCCAAACACTGGCCAATGGCGAGTGGAGCCCCAAGTCCCGGGCTGGGCGGCTGCCAGGGACGGCCACAAATGTAGAAGCTTCCCTTGGAAACATTGTAAGGGGCCGAACAAATTTCTGACCGCCGTCAGAAGCGCAGTTGAAACGCCGTCGTCCTTGTGGATTCCGTTCCTAACGCAAGCTTGAGAAGCATTAGAGAGTCCCTGAGTTCTCTTAGGTGGGGTGAGGGGGCGCCAAAGTGACTTTTGTCTTCTCTTCGCGTACGGGCACCTCTAGAAAGGGAATTGAGGCGACGGAAGCTTTGAGACACTACCGGCAGTGTCCCGTGGGCACAAGTTGCGGGTCTTGGTGGATCCCGAGCAACTGGAAAAGAGTCCTCCCGCCTGCCAGAAGACTACAACCCCAAAGCCTGAGAACACGTGTATCTGGCGTTGTTATTTGAATGACATTCGAATCAAACTCGGGCCCCTATGTCCTCTTTTTTACTGGGTGAGAACACTGGCAAAATAAGTATCTGGCAGAGCATAAGAGAGGCTGGGGATCCTTGGGCTGTTGACACACAACTCTCTATATGGCTGCGTGTACAGACAGTGCTGGTGTTGCCAGGAGCGCAAAACGTCCGGTCTAAGGACTACTGAATATTTATTGAGCACCAACTCTATGCCAGGTACTGAACTGCCTGCCTGCCTTCAGGAAATTTACAGTCCACCTGGAAATAATAGGTAGTAGCATGAGTTGTACTCATTCCAGGGACAATGATTGCTGAGGGATGCAGAAAAGTTCAGGGTGCAAAGACTGGGGTCAGCTTCAGGGCTTTTGAGTTGGGCCTTGAAGAATGGGGAAATTTTTCGATAAGGAAAACAAGATCAAACAGCCCAGCCTGGTGCAGTGGTGCACACAACTGTCATTCCAACTAAGTGGGGAGGCTGAGGCAGGAAGATCCCAAGTTTCAGGCAAGTATGGGCAACTTAGGGAGACCCTGTCTCAAAATAAAAGGGCTTGGGGTGTGGGTGTAGCTCAGTTGTAGCATGCTTGTGTAACCTGTGCAAGGCCCGGGTTCAATCCCCAGTTACAAAAAAGCAAAACAAAACAAAACCAGGCAGAATAAAGTCCTAAACAGGAGATCCTGTCCAGAAAGCAGAAGCAGGTTAGATAAATGGATCATCAGGTGCACAGTGATTTAGGAAGAATGGGCATCGGTAGGTAGGTTCAAGTTAGATTACAGAGGTGTCCGTGGAATACCAAGCTGAGGAATCTGTCTTTTATAATGGAGAGAGAGAATAGATTTTATAGAAGATGAGTGATTTGACCAAACCAGAATTTCAGGCAAGATAAACAAAGTGCAGAAATCAGTGATGTGAAACCAGTTGTAGTGCTGCATGCCATCAGCTCTTCGGGAGACTGAGACAGGAGGATTGCAAGTTCAAGCCCAGCCTGGGCAAATAAGTGAAACCCTGTCTCAAAATAAACATAAAAGGTCTGGGGGTATAGCTAAGTAGGGTGCTTGCCTAGCATATGTGAGGTCCTGGGTTCAATACCTAGCTCCTCAAGAAAAAAAGTAAGGAGAATCAATCCCTGCAAAGCCTAGATAAGCCATGATAAGGACCTGACCCACTGGGGCAATGGGGTTGTGAAGTGATCTGATCACCAACCTGCTCTCTCTGGGTTATAAACTCGGACAGATTCAAGTTAGGTCAAGCCAGGACCATCAGCTGGTTGGCACTTGAGGTCTCCTTGTACAGTTTTCCCATCCATTCTTTCCCTAGCTCCTTCAGAATGTACCTGATAAAGAATGAAGCAGGAATACTAAGAGCTGTGGTTGCTGGAGTAGGAAAATAATGTCCTCAAAGGACAGAGAACAGAGAAAAGGAAAAGGGGGATAGTCAATTTTGGCCAGCAGCCCACTCCACCCAGGAGTTGATAGATGTCCAGCAAGAGGTGTTAGAGCCAAAAGGAGGTACATTATTTTACCAGGAATCTTGGCTAAGAGGGACTATCAGAGCTGGTCAGGGTGACCTTGTACTCATGCCACATATGGGGAGATGAGAGGGCCAAATCCAGCTGCTAGGAAGGGCACTGGGAGCCTACCACTATTTCCCACATACAGACCTCCTTCTCTTCCTTCCCTCCATCCTTCTCATTGGCCTGGACCTGTGCCCCAGGCTGGCCAGTGGTGCCCATGAGCATTCGTTGGGGTCAAAGTGGAACCGAAAGACAAAGTGGCTTCAAATCTGCCCTCTGAGTGGGACCTGAGGGGTAGGGCTCATGTTAGCTTTCCTGATCCACCTGATGTTAAAGTCCTCTGTTTCATCACAGCCCTGTAGGCTAGAACTGAGTCACAAGAAAAGGAAGCTGGGAGAGCATGGTTTTTAACTAGGATCCACAAACTTACTAGGCTCAACAGAGTTCTGAGATTCAGGGTCTCTGAACCCCTAAAAATGACTAAAATGTGTTTGTGGGTACACACAAATATTATAATTTACAACAATTTCCCTGAGCCCTCATAAAAGTTTAAAAATCAGCTGGTCTTGGTGGCACAGGCCTATAATACCAGCCAGTTGGGAGGCTGAGACAGGAGGATTGCAAGTTCCAGGCCAGCCTGAGCAATTTAGTAAGATCCTGTGTCAATAAAATAATTTTTTAAAGGGCTGGGAGTGTAGCTCAGTGGTAGAGCACTTATTTGCCTCCCACGCTCAAGGTCCTAGAAACACATATATGCATACAAAGTTAAAAATCACCATTTTAGGGGAAGAGGGCCTGGGAAGCAGGAAGAGGTCATCTTAGTGGGCCTGGGAATTGTGGGAGATAGGGGGAGGGTCACACTAGCCAGGATCTTGCTTTTAAGACCTCTCTCCCATGCCTTTCCAGCCTGCTCCCTCGGGCTGGTTCTGAAGGACACCTGTAGCTTGGCCTCCTGTGCTCTCTGCCTCTGAGGTCAAGCAGCAGGAGGCCCAGGCTTCTGAGCTGGAGGGACCAGAGAAGGGCTGTCAGAAAAGGGATAAAGGGGTCAGGGAGGTCAGGAGCCTCACCCCCACCTCTCATCAGTGTCAAAGCAGACTCCTCCCCGTCCATGCCTTTTCTGTCCTTCCAACACAGGGACTCATCAGTGTCAAAATCTGCTGACTAGATTGCTGAGCTCAAAGCCCTCTGATTAACAGCAGCACCCTGCAAATAGATGAACCCCAGCTTTTTTTTTTTTAAAAAAGAGAGTGAGAGAGGAGAGAGAGAGAATTTTTAATATTTATTTTTTAGTTCTCGACAGACACAACATCTTTGTTGGTATGTGGTGCTGAGGATTGAACCCGGGCGGCACCCATGCCAGGCGAGCGCGCTACCGCTTGAGCCACATCCCCAACTCCTGAACCCCAGCTTTTGAACAGGCTAGGAGCAAATGCACATTATAGCCACAAAAACCTACATTTTGGAGAATTTCCCCTTTCTCTTATCTGCTTTAATATGCTTTCTCTCTTGACCAATGCCAGCTCTACAAGAAAGGACCCCAGAGGAAGGCAGAGTTGCTCTAAAAAACATCAGCACAGAAACTTAGAGGTTGGTGGATCTTCCTAACAATCTGAGAGGGGTGTAAAGAGTTAAGGGAAGCCTGCTCCTAACCAAAGAGAAAAGCCAGCTCCCTGTAGAAAGTCAGGAGCCTTCTCCATTGTTTCACCTGGCTATAGGATTTCTCTCAGAGACAAGGAATAGGCTCTGAAAAGCCAGTAACTGGATCACTAGGAAGAGTGGTTTTTAAAAAACCCAGCTGACAGCTGAATAATACGAATTACCAGGCAGGATGCCCTGGGGTTACTGAGGTTTGTAACTCAATCCCCAGGGAGGGGGTGGATTGGAAACTGATTTATGGGTAAAGTGGGGGTCTTGGGGAGCCCATGATGCTTGACCCTCTTACCTCTTAACTCCCTCTAGGAAGGATCATGTATGTAAGAAAGACTGGGAACTTGGAAGGTATGGCGTCCTTCCCTCACCAGACTTGCCCTAAACAGGGAATTTATCTCTGCATCATTCCATCTGTCTGCAAAAGATAGTTCCTCTTTTCTGAATTGCACAGTGTGTATGAGAGGGAGTAAGACAGACAGCTGTACATACAGACACAAAGTATAAACTAGAACAGAAAACAGACTGGCTTCTACTAACTGGGCAAGTGGGGAGACCTGATCTTCCAGTTAATAAGGTCACTATGTGCCAATCACCAATTCAGTGGGATTCAAATAGGAAAAAAAAAAAAAAAAAACAGGTACTAAGCAGAACAACTGGGATCCAGAAACTAAGGACTAAGGCTGCCAGGCTAGAGCCCAGGACAATCTAAAGTGTGAAGTGTGAAGTTCAAGATTCTTTGGATTATGACATTCAGCAAATATTTTTTGTTTTGGGGACCACTCAGTAAATATTTGCTGAGTGAACATTTTCACATTTAAAAAGTACAATTAGGGGCTGGGGCTGTAGCTCAATGGTACAGTGCTCACCTTGCACGTGTGAGGCACTGGGTTCAATCCTCAGCACCACAAAAAAAATAAATAAAGATATTGTGTCCAACTACAACTAAAAAAACAAAAAATTAAAATTAAAAAAAAATAAAAAGTACAATTAGCTCTGTGTTACAAAGTGGGAAGAAAACTACAGTGGGGAATTTCCAGTAAGTGCCCTGTCTCTATCTTGTTCTTGCCCCTCAAGATGCCTGGACTACCTTAGTTTCTTGTCACCAGTAGAGAGAATCCTCCTAAGAGGTAAGAGTGATGCCACTTACTCCTGGTACCCTCAACCACTCCTTCTGCGTTG